GGGCGGCTGGAGTGGGTTCTAATAGCAAAAGCGTTCAGTCCTTTGTTAACAGTCAACAAATCCGTGTTGACCTTTCCTCTGAGGGTCAAAGGTTATCAGACACATTACTCTTCGCCACGTCAGCAGAAAGCACATTTCATGGTCCTTTCATAAAGTGATAAAAATGGTAGTGTGATAGCACTGGAAACAAAAAAGTTTTTTCACTCTGACCGTTAGGCCATTTTCCTCAGAAAATCGTCTGATATGTGACCTTTCCCCCACTGCTCTTGACCTGTGACCTCCAATTTCCCACTGTGATGGGTTTCGCTGCCATCACACTATACACCGAATATTAAGAGCATAGGTCAAGCCATTTAGATTTGTGCCCGCAATTCTGCATTTTCCTCCTATACCTTAAGTTAAGGAGGATGTTCCCCCTCTTTTGAACCCCAGGCTGAAGAAAATGACCGCGTAAAAAAACACTGAAAACCCGAGGCGGGGGGGGAACCCCGAAGCGCGGGGGGGCGAACCCGGAGGCGGGGCGGGGTACCCCCTCTCACATTAGGGAGATTTTTTTAATTTGGGGGTCAGTAATAACACGGGCGGCCGGAAGTAGGGGGCAGGGGGCGGCCCCCCCCATCCAAAAAGTAGGGGGGACAAAACAAAAGCGCCCCCAAAAGAAGAGTTGGGGGGAATAGAAAAAATATAATGTATGAGCCTAAGACGTGTTACATACAGTAATTCTAACGGTTCAATAAACTAATTTATACATCCATTTTAGAGTTTTCGCATGCGCGCTTTGCGTGAATTGAGCTCACCGTTGGCACACATGCCACGCGCGTCATGCACACAGTCGCACACGCACACACGTCACAAGCACACGGCGTCACGCACACCCGTCACACTACATGCGCCTCACGCACACACGCGCTGCACGCACACAGCGCGCTCACGCACACGCGTTTCACGCACAACACGTTCCGCACACACGCCGCTCACGCACCACACGTCGCACACACGCGCTCACGCACACACGTCGCACACACGCGCTCACGCACACACGTCGCACACGCACCACATGCTCGCACACACGTGCTCACGCACACACGTTGCCACACACGCCGCCACGGCCCACACACGTCGCACACGCACACATGTCGCACACACGCGCTCACGCACACCACGTCGCCACACGCACACACGTTCGCACACAACGCGCTCACGCACACACGTCGCATACACGCGGCTCACGCACACACTCGCGCTCACCGCCACACCTGCGCTCACCACACACGGTCGCACACACGCCGCCTCACGCATACTACGCGCTCACGCACACACGTCGCACACACGTCCGCTCACGCACACACGCGCTTCACGCCACACACGTCGCATTACACGCCACAGCGTCGCATACACGCCACACACGTTCGCAACCTACGCACACATGTCGCACACACGCGCTCACGCACACACGTCGCCACACGACACATGCCGCCACACTGCCGCTCACTCACACACGTCGCACACGCACACATGCTCGCACACACGCGCTCACTCACACACGCTCGCACACGGCACACATGTCGCCACACACGCGCTCACGCACACACGTCGCACACGCACACATGTTCGCACACACGCGCTCACGTTACACAGCGTCGCATTACACTGCGCCTCACGCACACACCGCGCTACACGCACCCACGCTCGCCACACACGCGCGGCTGACGCCATACACGCGCTCACGCCACACACGCGCTCACGGCACACACTTCGCCCACATACGCCCTCACGCACACACGTCGCCACACACGCGCTCACGCACACATGCTTTCACGCACACACCGCCGCCTCACGCCACACACGCGCTTCACGCACACACGCGCTCACGCACCACACCGTCGCATCACACGCTGCTCACTGCACACACGTCGCACATCGCACACATGTCGCATCACACGCGCTCACGCACACACGTTCGATACACCGCTCACGCACACACGCTCGCACACCACACATCACAGCGCTCACGCACACACATCACACACACGCACTCAGCAGCACATGCGCTCACGCCCACACACGCGCTCACGCACACACGTGCTCACGTCACACACGTTCGCCACATTACGCTGCTCACGCACACACCGCCGCTCACGCCACACACGTCGCACATCACGCGCCTCACGCACACACGCGCTCACGCACACACGGTCGCACATACGCCGCTTTCACGCCACACACGTCGCCCACCGCGCTCACGCCACACACGCGCTCACGCACACACGCTCGCACACACGCGCGCTCTACGCCACACACCTGCTGCACACACACACGTCACACAACATGGCCGCTCACGCCAACACACGCACACACGGCGCTCACGCACACACGACACGCACACGCGCTGTCACGCACCACACGTTCACGCAGCCACGCAACACACGTCGCTACTATCTACGCGCCTTACGCACACACGTCGCACACGCCAACACATGGTCGCCCACACACGCGTCTCACGCACACACGGCTACGGCTACGGGTACCAGTCTAGCTTGCTGTTCCAGACCCAGTAGACGACCGATTCGATAAACCGTGCGCCTGCATGCCTACATGTGCCCGGGTAGATTACGAATGCTGCTACCCCTGAGACTCGGCAAAAACGGATAAACTCGGAAACAATTCTTGGATGCGTGGCGGAAAAACGGAAATCCGGACAATTTTCATGCCTGTACACTCTTGAGCACTTTTGACGCTTTGACCCCCAGCGTCGCACCATCCCAACTCCGTTTCGCGATTGACCCCCTACGTGAGCCGAGCTTGGCGACTCTGAATGGATCCGCTGACTCCCGGGTCGACGAGGGCTCGCGTCGCCGCTCCTCGCGAGCTAGATTTGTGCGTGGCCCAACTGTCTGACCCGCGTGCCTCTCGCGAGGCATGTACAGGCTTCGCTTGTACTGCCCGGCCCTGCGAAGTTCGTCTGTGCCACCGGATAGGCGACCACATCTTCTTCGCTTGTGATCTGAGCCATACTGGACTACGACACTCCAGTCGGCGTTCCCGCGTGGGGCTGAGACGCCTCGTGCTGCCCGTCGCCTCAGCTCGACGTCCTTTCGATCTTCTGGCACGGGCGGACGGTGCGCTCCGAGGGGCGACCGGCGCGCCGAGACACGGAGCGGAGCACGGACGCCCAACGCACGCACGCACGCACGCACGTCGCCGGATGCACGCACGCCAACAGGAGAATGCATGCGATATCTAGCAAAGCTGCATCTGACTATCGTCAAGGATGAGCTAATGATTTAGAGGAAAATAACAGCGGAAAAGCTGGAAAAAGAAAAAGATGTCGATTAACTCAGAACGTTCTGTAAGCTCTTGCACTCGCAGCGGCTGAATAATTCGCCAAGGGTTGATTAATTAAACAAATCACTGTCCCTTCAGGAACGTTCTAAGGTTAGTGGTTAAATCGTGCATGTTTAGTCGATGATCTCAGTCCTACGTTAGCACACTGACGGCACAGTGATAGTGTTTGGGTTTATTTTCGTCCCAACAATATGAGATTGTCATTATAATTTATACTGGCATTTAATACATAAGCAATTCACTCATACCCACAATGCTTTCGTATTAGGTTTCAACTACAAATTCGTTCTTGAGGGTATGACTAGGGCCTTACTGTCAAAATTGGTGCGGATTGCTCGCATGAGGAACTGAGATCCTGGAGTCACTGCCTCTCTACAAGTTGGCTCCATCGTTGTGGGGGCGGCGGAGATGGCAGACGGTGAGCTGCAGCGGCTGAGAGTTCCCGCGGGGGGACGAGGACAAGTTAGGCTAATTGTTGGCCCGATCAGCACGGAGGGGCGGACGGACCCCCTCCCCCTCTCCCTTCCCCATCCCCCTCCCCCCACCACCACTACGCTCACGCTCAACGCATATCCATGATAACATGTTAATATAGTGAAGTCATTAAAGTTACACAGCTGTATCTTTATTACTGTACTACCGGTATAGCAAAGCCTATCATAGATTTTACATCTGTATTAGTAGTATCCTAGATATATGCTCTGGGCGCGAACGCGGTGGCGGGAGGGCACACTTGATTCGGTTGCCAGTGAGTTTATCAGAAGATTACCCGGCTACAGTACACGTCAGTTGAGGGCTGTCGCTCTGCGGCACTTGTTCTATATTATTATTATTATTTATTTATTTATCTCTCTTACCTTGATATTACTTGGTGGAATGGTTTTTAACTATTTGAGCAAGTGACATTGAGACATTATTTACATCACTAATATTTCAATCTTGTTTAGATTTTCAACCAGCAAAATAAAGAGAAGGGAGAAAAATACCCCAAAGAAAATTGCCCAGGGCGACTTCCATATTGTTATCTAGCGGCAGATATGTATTTGTATTCGAATGTGCCCCATTTAACGTAGGATTTTAGAATCAAAAAAGCATCTATAGAATTTTTTTTCTAGTGTGTTTATCACTCGTGTAATATAAGGTACTGTTTGTACTTTTTGTAGTTGCATCTCTCTTGTCATGCCTGCATCAGCTACGAGCAGAAAATCACCGGTTAGAGGAGCTAGTTAGCAGCCTATCGGCGAGACGGGACCACCTGCTGGCCGTCAATGCACGCCTAGCCGTGCCCAATAACAGCCAGGCGTCGTCCACTATGTCTGAACCACGCAACACCCGTATTAACAACACTTTTGTGCCACGTGGCGACAGCAACATACAGGTGAGGGAGCAACGTGTGGTGTTTGCACCTGTTGTATATCTTTGCTGTTATTTCTGTAACGAGTTGTCCATCGAGAGGAATTGTCTACGTTTTCTTGTCTTGATATGAGATGCTCTATTGCAGGATGGTCTTCATGCACGCAGCCAAGCACGCAGCCCAATCCAGCACAGTCTTGCAGGCTCTCACAACCATATCCCTGTGAGCCCACCGGTTGCAGGACATGCAGCGCCACCTGCTGCTGAACTGCCAAGTTTGCCAACTTTGCAGGGTCAAAGCAGCAGGGGTACTCTCAATTTGGCTGGCTATCCTATTATTCCCGCCTCTCAGGTATTGGTTGCTTTGTAAACGTGGCAAATTCTTAGTAGCATTAAGTGCAACTAAATTTGGATATTTCAGATACTTTCACATTTTCATGTTGTATCTATCACCTAATGTTTATATGCTCTTCATATCGTGCTGGCTATAAGTGACTTGGTGTGTTTGTGCATCACAGGGTCAAACTACAGAGGCTATCCGAGCGCTGCTTCTTCAACAGCAGCAGCTCCAATCGATGCACCAACAGATGGCTCAACTCACACCGGTCAGTACATCAACTATTAAGTTATGATTTCAGGCCTGAGTACTTATACTGAAGGTTTGTTCGGCCTCATATAATTTATGTTATGACGAATTGATGATGTTATGATTTGATTTTTATTATTCAGGTATCTAAATTTACATCGTACTTGTCTTTTGAAAAATGGTTGTAAAATGATCAAAAACGTGTCAATCAAGCCAGGTAAATGGTGACGATTCTTAGTAAAACAGTACATAATAAATATTATTGCAATTATAATGCATACAGTATTCACATATAAGAAAATATTAAAAACTTTAGGATAGAACAAAATCGTACAACACACTAAGAACTAGTATTGTACTGGTGGGAAAGGGGGTGGCAAATAGTAAATTCAGAAGTATCTAATTGAAGGGTAAAAAGTTTAAAAATGTGAAAAGGTAAATATAACAATGTTTTATACTTGGAAATTAATTTCATGATGTGTTGACACCCAGACACAATACGTGTGTGTGTGTGTGTGTGTGTGCGTGCGTGCGTGCGTGCGTGCGTGCGTTCGTGCGTGCGTGCCTTGCTCATATTCTCTCCTTTTGTAAAACATGGCAAACCTTGGGGGTCTAAATAATTATTGTAAAGACAAAGCACATCTTGTTGTCACAGGAGCAATACCAGCAGATGATGTATCAGATGCAACAGCATCCTCTAGCAGCACAGTTTGCAGGGATGGCAGGCAGTTTAAACCGGCAGTCCAGTGTAAGTGGAAAGAACTCTTCAGGGCGCTCCTCTGTTAGCAATCGGACACCGCCTGATGAGAAGGGCAAGAAGAGCTGATCAACACCTACATGCCATCTTGACTGAGGTCACCTAATGGTAGTCTCATGCATAGATGTGGAGAATGCTTACTTAAAAGTGTTTAGCAAAGGTGAGAGGGAATGATCGGCTTTATGTGGTTTCACTTGGTGAATTCTCTTTGCCAAGGTACCAGAATGTGTAATGTAAATACTACATAATACTGTGTCCAGTCTCCGGCAACAATACCCACTGCCAAACGTTTTTGTAATACTGTATGATCTGGAAAATATATTAGATGTCGAAATGTCATTATAATCACATGAGTATTTAAAAAAACATGTCACTATTATATTAACTAGTATGTCATGAAAAGTTTTATTTCCGTCTATGTTATTGTAACAAATATCGTTGTGGTACCAAATGATAGTATACCGGGTAGGTAATATAAAATGTTTTTTTAAGAATGACAACACCTATAACATTCCGATCATATAGACAATCTTATCCATAGAAATATTTTTATGATAATTAGCCATCAACGTGCAAGGGGCATTGATTGTTCACTGACACAGAACTGTGCACATGCCATATAATGACCTGCGTACCTGACTATAGTTGCTAGACATAAATGGTGAAAATTTCAATTGTGTGAAGATTAATTATATATGTTTCGAACAGAATAAGCATCTTATGTCATGTCATGCCCAATATTCAATTATTTGATGGTGTGAAAGTATTCAGTTGTTAGTTTGTGGTAAAGCACTGAAGTAAAGAAATTTCGTTCATGCTGTTTATTTCTTTGCATGTGATGTCAATTCAGTAACTAAGTCAATTAAAAAAACAACATGATAGTGGCTCAAAGACAAGGAAATTAATACACTCGTGCATGTATACGGTGAATAAATGTACAACAGACCTGCCTTCCCCTCCGTGACCTCTGATGTTCCAATATCGTGAGCTCTGAGGTAGGAGTTGTGTATATTTTACCCACCCGGCCTATCGACCTAGTGGAGGACACCGACCAGATGGGCAGGGACATACCGCTCCCCGTTACATGCAGGGTTGGGGGCATGAGGGTTCGACTATTAAGTGAGTAATAGCCTTCACGCCCGCAACGCGATGGGACCACAGACTAACGGATCTGATGCGGAGTCTGTAATGCGACCGGCACGCTATGTAACCGACATGTGCATAATGCACAACACCGAAGTTTTACGTATACACGACAGGGAGTTTATTACGTACGGGACAGTCACTGCGCGCCACGTTCTTCATCGCACGTCAATTCCTGATCAGCCGCTTCGTGTGCACGGTCAGTCGGTCACCGTGCATCAGCCGGCTAGGTGAGCATGTAAACAACGATAGCAGGTTGCTGAAAGATCGCACATCGTGCACACCAGCAATACATTCGGGGCCACCCAACCTACTAGGCCTACATACGCTGGCCTACGGTTGACGCTAGGTGGGGAAAATCTACCGGCCACCGGCCTGTTGCTCTCGCTTACTGCACACACCAACCATGGCGAGGTGAAGTATCATAGGGACTCGCCAGCTGTCAGCCTCACCCCAGGTGCCTGGGAACTGCAAACACGGCAATCACCGGTGATAAAGCCGGGGACAGCATCACTGCTACGGGATGCTACCCTGTCTATCTGTAGAGCTGTGTCTTAGCGCTCAGCTTCCTACTATACCACTACATTTGGAAAGCAGCTAATTCCGTTCACAACAGCTCGACACTCACTGTAATTATTTATGTAAAAGAATCTGACATCGATTATGACGACGTGCAGTTCATGTCAAAGAGGTTGACAAATTAGTTATCATGTGCTATCAAATAAGTTTATGGTGTGCTTCATGACATAAGTCAGATCATGTCATATTGATCTTACATTCATATGATAGCAAATTTCTTTAGGCGTAGATATCAATAATAAAAGAATGTAACCCCACGTTCGTTTCAAATGGGGTATATGAATTACAATTTATATTACCGTGTACTTGTATAATTCATGAAGTAATGAAATTTAATGATTCAATTGAGTTTCAATTGTAATTGATTCAATTCATTGCCAGTTAAATGATTCACTCGTCTTTGTTTACGTTTTGTGATTTCTTGCTGTAATTCATATCATATTTCGTGACGTTTGTGACTTATTTATATACGTTCAGTATGGTGAAATTGTATTTGCCAATTAATTGTATTTTCTACATGACTGTCCTGTAGGCATACTGTTTCTTATCTTAATGCCCTTTTCTCCGTAGAAGTAAGTTGCAATGCGAAGAATGTGGAATGTTATGGGCTACTTCCCTGATTCTGAAGTGATGCGTCGATCGTCGTGTTTCATAATAGCATACCCGTTCATTGAATAGTAGATCTAAATGTAGCAAGGAATCTATTTACACAATGTAAATAAAGACTATTACTAAATGGTTCTGTGTTTATTTTTTATTGCCTTTGCATAGAATGTGTGGGTGACATTTTGTATACATTAATGTGTATGGGCTGGTGACTACCGCAATATAATCGTGGTAATCCATTCATTGGCTTTCATCTCTACTGTTTATATCGTTTGAAAATGCGGTTGCGAAATCGGTTAAGTGTACTTATATTATTACCCACGTACGCAGACACGCGTGCTTTTGCAAGATATGTAACGGAATTGGAACAGTTATTATGGGAACATATTGGCATCAGCGGTTAATAATGCTGAGAGGGTCTATGTCTCCCTGGGTACTGCCGGAACGTACCCTGGGTACGGTTACCCTGGTAACTATCTACCTCGCCTACCGTACCTCGCCTATTCCACTAACGAGTCTAGGGAGTCGCCTGACGCGTTCTACGTCCGCTACTCTAACCAGGAACCCGAAACCATATACCCGGGTATAGCCTCGTCGTCCCTACTCTCCCGTAACTCGTAGCGCGCGGACCCGAACCAATCGAGATAGTTAGCCCAGGGGCACGTCTCCGGCCAAGTACCGGAGACATAGATGAGCGTTAATAATGACAATTATTTTTCCGTTTTGTTGTTGTTATTATTAACCCCTGATATATATATATATATATATATATATATATATATATTATATTCGATATTAGCTATTCAGCCACTATTGTCACGTATAGCGCGTAATGTTTTGGTGTCTGGCTGACTCGTCCGGTGCGCAAACGGATCACTTTCGGCCTTTGTACGCGCGGCGTTGGCCCTGATTTCTGGGTGATCAGTGAATTTGTCTAAGCGGGGGCTGTATAAATCCAAGAAATTCTGCGTGTAAGTGCGAATGGGAGTCAATTAGTCATTTTAATGTCAGTTGTAGCTGCTTTCAGGCTACGTAACGTTTGCTAATAACGAACCAGTATAGTGCATTTATAAAATTGAATAAAATGAAGAGCGGAAGGGAAGGAACGTGGTTGATGGAGGGTAGAGGGCGGGGAAGGTGTGTGGACTAATTGAAGGGTTAGATGAGAATTAAGCTGGCGGTGGAGGAAGCGAGGAGGTGGTGAGGAGGGTCGGTAGCTGGCTGTTTGCACAGGCAGAGCATGAATAGCACGATAGAGGCAATTCGACAATTATTAATTACTTATTATAAAAAACATTAATAGACTTAGTGAAGCTATGCCAAGCTGGTCAGAGGACGTGGCGACGGAACAGCCAATCGACGCCGGAGCTTTACTCTTAGTGGCGAGAGAAGTACACAGCACGCGTGCACCCACACAACACACAGCGCACACATTTATTTTGGTTTATTGTTTATGTATTTAGTATTGGTCAAGGTCTGAATCATCGCCATCGAGTATATAGCATTACTTTTACAATATATTTTATGTATTCCAAAGGTAACTACCAAGGATATACACAAAAGTATGACTAGCACACTTATTTTACTTCGTCAGGGTCCTGGTGCGTTGATTACCTCCGGCCAAGGCTTAGGCAGGAGGTTATGTTTTTCACGGCGTCTCCTGTGTGTTTGTTGGTTTGTCGGTTTGTGCTCGTTGGTTTGTCGGTGGTTTGTGCGTTGTTTGTTTGCTGTACAGCCTAGACTTGGAAACCCTTAATGGACGGATTGTCTATGAAATTTTCAGGAGTAGGGTACGGAAATGGGCTAAACTTCGAATTGATTAGATTTCGGTGGTCCTGATCCGGATCAATTAATTAATAATTAAGTTAAATTTTCAGGCTAGCGTAGAAAAATGCGGTAACTTAGAATTGATTACATTTTGGTTGGTGCTAGCCCGGTTGATCCCCCCCGGATCCTGGAATTAATTAAATAAAATTTGTCAGGATAGGTCAGAAATGGGTGAACTTAGAATGATCTAAATTTTGGTGGTGATCCGGATCAATTAATTATTTAATTAATTAAATTAATTAGTTAAAATTGTCACAGTCAGAGAATTGAGCTGCCTTCGCAGTCTTGCGCTCTCCGAGTGCTTTAGTATATGTAAGCTTCTTTCTGACTTACATTATACCCCCCCGCGCGAAATTTACCCTCCGCGACAATTAACCTCCCGGACATTTACCCCCCTCCGGAAAATTACTCACTTTGGTGCTTTATTAGCCATTGTATTGACCAATGATACCAGGGGGTAGGGGTCGCGAGGCGAGGAGGGAGAGAGTTGTGTGGAGGAGAGGAGGGGGAGAAGTGGTGAGGAGGGGAAGAAGGGTGTGAGAAGGCAGGAGTGAGGAGAGGCGGTGGAGGAGGAGGAGGAGCAGGACCGTGGTAGAGGAGGAAGTGAGGGGGAGAAGGTGGTAGAGGAGGGGGAGAAGGTGGTTTATAGGGTTTCGGGGAAGGTGGTAGGGAAGATGAAGGGAGGTGGCAGCGAGGAGGAGGATATGGAGAAGGGAGGTGAGGAATACCTCGGTAGAGGTAGGTAGAGTGAGGGCCGCCACTCCACCTCGTTCTCCTCTCCTCCATCACCAGCTTTCTCCCCTCCTCCTCGTGTCCCTCCCTCAACACACCTGCATGCCTGTCGGTCCTCGTGGTTATCTCCCTTCCTTCCTCATACCTCTTCCGCTCGTCTCTAACTCCTCTTCTAAAAATAGAATCTGCGCGTGTAAATTGTCCCGCGGTCGTTTAAATGTCTGCGCTGGGTATATTGTCCGGTCGGTGGTATTGTCCCGGCTCGGTCCGGGTCGCGGGCTGCTTAGCCCGGTAAATATCCGAGGTGGGCTAATTGTACGGGGGGGGTAAATGTCCGGGGGGTTGATTGTCGGGGGGTAATTATCCGGGGGGTAATTGTCCGGGTAAATGTCCGGCGGGGTAATTGGCATGGCGTCGCGTGCTGTCAGGGGTGTAGGCGCCTAATCGTCCGCTGCCGTTTAAGTGCCGGGGGGTTTTGGGTATTTGTCCTGATTACCACGTATATATTATGTATACTATCATATATATAATATATAATATATACTTATTTTATAATAACTTACCTACTATCAGAGTAGACTTCATAGTGACGACTATTCATCAGAATAGAAGTCAGAACTTATAGAAAACTATAATAGTCTCCTAACTTCATCTACCTCTTTATATCTATTTATTTATTCATATAGATTTATATTATATTTTCTTCTGCTTGAACTTTTAAAACTCGTGGCGCCTTGAAGGAAAAATGAAAACGACAGAAGCCTGCACAAATGAAATGAAAATATCTAAATCGCATTTGTCAGTGCTTCAATCCAGTGTGTAGCCAAACATTAGTGCTCGTTCCCCTGATGATTGGGACGTCTTTATACTCTTTCTCGGCGATGGCAGGACGCATTACCTGAGGTCTGTCCTCGTCCTCCATATGCCGTTCTAAAAAATACTCACGTTTCGCCTTCTTAGAGTATAACCGACGTGATAGCAGATTAAAGAACGGGCGCATGGTGTGCACAAGGAGATAGATCGCGTTGTCGACATTACGACGGTTAACACTTTTGTGTTATTCTTCGAGTAGCTATTTGGTATTACCCTCCCTGTTATACCTATATAATAATTCCAGGATATCTTGATATCAATACACAAAGTACAGATTTCTTCGTTTGCATATTACGTAAAGTATTTGACAATTAATTAACTATTTTATGAACTAATTGTCATGTGGCGTAGCGACGTTTTGATTCGGGGCCTGAGAGAGAGAACAAAAAACGAGGACAAGCATTTCGTGGCCGCGTATGACCCCGGGCCCACTAAATATTCATTTGCTGTGCGTGACAGATTAGGCCAGTTACCAGCATCACCAGTTTTGATCACCGGTTTCTGTGGACCTGCCAAAAATTGAAGAATGATCAATACTCTTTTATCCCAGTGCCACACGACTGGCCCCACAAATTGTACTGGAACTACTGTATTTTTATAATTCGGTTGCCCATCATAGCGTAGGGGCTATTTTTGTTTGAAAAGGCTCTCATTTTATGCACGAGACATTACTTTTAGTTTTAAAGAGAGAGAAGTGGCGGGTATGGGAAAAAAGTAAGGAGAGGTAGAAGTAGAGGGCTGTAGATAAGTGGTTCGAGGCTGCCTTGGGTTGTAGTGCGGAGAGCGCATCTTCCTTGGCTGCGAATATGTGCCCATTTTCCTTTGGCTAGAATCTCTCCTGACATTGAGCACTTGGAGACATTTGTCTCAAAAATTTCTCATTTTTGCTCGAACACTGTATGGTATGAATTACTATTTTAAAATAATCAAAGCTAATAATTTTGTTGCAGGTAATCACCAATTTTCATGTACCAGAACTGAAAAGAGAGGCTATAGATCAGGAGACCCACTAAGAGCGTCGACTTGCTGGATACTGAAGTGATATCTGGCATTGCAAAGTCTTCCTGAACTCTTCACCAGGCTAACTATTATCACTGCAATAACGTTCATATTTCATGCACAATTGCCATGTATCACGTAAAGCCTACTCCCGAAAGGCAGACAGTGAAGTATGAATGTTGTGATTGTGGAGCCCAACTTACGCGGCATGAGAACTTAAAGAGGCATCTGATTAAAGTTCACCACATTGCTGTATCAAAGCAAGTTGCAGAAAAGCTTGCCTTTTGCAGAGAAGTGGTCGTGAAGAAAGCAGCAATAGATGCTCCAACATTCGAAAGTGAAGTAGCAGCTCGGCCTGTTCCCAATATGTTACCTGGTGGAACAATCACTAATCAAGGTGCTGAACAGAATCCACTAGAGTATGGTAATAATGCTAAACCAATAGCAATTTCGTCATCTGCAACCGTAAGGAAAGATGCTCAAAGTATGGCAGCGGAGAGGTCTTGTCTAATTTGCGGAATGGCATTTATGAAAAAGGTTAGGCTGTATGAGCATATCAAAAATGCACATAAGGGTCAAGTATTGAAGCAGGTTTGCTGTCAATGTGGAGCTGAACTCAGTAAAAGAGATCACTTGAAGAGGCACATTGTTTTAGTGCATTGCATTACCGACCTGAATCAAGTTGCAGATATGATGGCTGCAAGCAGGGTTACAGTAAAGGAGGATACTGGTACCGATAGTAGGAGTTTGTCAAACACTGCGGTGAAGAAGAAGCGCGTACGGCCCGAATCTCAGAATTTATGTAATATTTGTCAACAAATGTTTGCTAATAGGCATGAATTAAAGGATCACAGATTAGCTGTTCACAGTGGAAACAAACCTAAACATGTATGTTGTGATTGCGGAGCCCATCTTAGTAGATCTGATCATCTAAAGCGGCATTTGGTTCGAGTTCATCACATAACAGCATCAAAGGAAATTGCTGAAAAAATGGCTTCTTGCACAGTGGAGGCACCTAGAACATCTGTACTGGGCGAAGCTGAAGCATCTGCATGCTCATCTGGCAATGACCCAACTCTTGTCAAACCAATGGGAACACCTGATAAAATATGTCTGATTTGCAAAGAGTCCTTTCCAACAGGAAAATATCTGGATGGCCACATGGGAGCAGCACACAGACACCAGACCATCGAGCATGTGTGTTGTGACTGCGGAGCACAATTCAACATGCAAGGCCACCTGAGGAGACATCTGATTGATGTTCATTGTGTCACAGATTCTACGGTTCTTCTACAAAAACTGGCAACTTGTACATTTGTTGTCGTTGCAAAGAAACCTGATCAGTTTTATGGAGGCGAGAGGCCTGTGTACACCTGCGGTAGTAGAAACGAGGGTTATGGAGCTGCATGTAACAATAGTGACACAGGTGACGATCCGTCATCTAGTGATACCGAGATTTATTAATTGGCTTATTACGTTAGACAGATGGATGCTATATAAATTTGAATTAAAATTTATTTGCAGCTGTATCCTACTATATGCCCCCATAGGTGCATATTTATGTAGTCACATTATCCTCCATATTATACATCTGATAAGTGTTTTGTAATAAGTGTTTACTTACTACTAGAATATCATTGGCCCTTGTCCTATTTCTGGGGCTGTTTGATGTTGGTAACACTACAACTGCATGTTCTTGAGTGCTAATGTCGTATATCATTAGTTTTTAGTAGTTGTTTTAAAGAATGTACATGGAAAAAAAATTGTATTACTTATTTTGCATTTAATGAAATTTTAATAAGTTGAATACATTGCTTCTCTTTTGGTGTACAGTAAATAACAGTAGTACATTTTTGTGAGGATTTGTGCAGAAGATGATGTTTATAATGCTGCAAGATCGTACTGAAAACCCAGCTACAAAGGAGGAGGGGCTGTTAATTTAGGCAAGAAATTATTGTTCCTTGTTGAGTGTAGGTGTGATGTGTTGTGATTAGACAAGTCTTCATAGGGTGTATTTACGGATTTGCCACTAATGAAACAATTCTATTTACATGTATTTATTAATTTCAAAATGCTTGGTTAGGATTAATGTATTTTGTTCGTACGTTTGGGCCAAATGCCACAGCTGTGTTTGTTCATGAATCATAGTAGGTAATTCAAAAGTTCTGAAGAATTTGGTTGAAATGTAGATGGCAGAGTTGTCAAGTTTCAGTTGTTCAAATGCCTGAGATTTGTTGATGATCTAAGCTCGGGGCTGACGAGTAAAGCTCAGCATATATGCTACTTGTCGGCGCTCAAGCACCTCTATAACTGGTTTGCAAATCCAGACGTAAAAGGTGCGATGTGGTGCATGCTTGATCATTTAAAACCATTATCAATCGTCTGATGTCATCAGATGAGTACGTGCATGTGTGGAATATAATCTTGAACAGAGGTCTGTGACACGTCGTGTGCTATTCTAACGAGAATCTGTGTCCAATGTTAAAATTTGAGATGTCTTCCATGAATTATCAAAGATCGTAAACAGTAACAGTCCTGTTGGAATGACTTGGAAATAAATTTTCCACAAACTTGGTGTTATTGAAATGCATAGAGCAAATGTGCATTAAATATGTTATACAGCAAAACCCTTTTGTCAAATGAACGGATTTAGCGGGCGTAATTGAAACGTAGACCATGAAATATAAAAACTGGGACATGGAAAATTTTAACTATTTTATGATTAATGTTGTATTATAGGTAGTGTCACTGTATATCATATTAATCACTGCTAACGTCGTGATCGTCATAAGGCCTTGTATTTTTGGTAATTTGGTATACAAGCTGAGCAAAATTGAAACAAAAATTAACAAAATATTTTTATTTCAACTACTGGCAATATTGAAAACAAAATATTGTAAACCAGGTGACAAAAATAAAAGGCCTGACAGTATTATTATTGCCAGAAACATAAACACTGTATACCCAGCTATGTTATTGGAAATAGTGGTAGTAATCATGGTGTAGCTAAGTATGTATGTGTCCGTGTGTGTGCGTATCGTAACAGCAGTTTTAGATGTGCTATCCAACAGCACTAAAAGTTATACTCGTGGTAGTAATACTGTATACTAGGAGTAGCAGTACTATATATCCGTCTTTGTTATACATTATGATGGTGGTAGAATATAGAATACTAAGTAGTTACGGCAGCAGCAGCTTTGGTAGTTCTAAAATCTATTCTTACATGATTGTTGTGGTATGTGTTCTTCAGCAGTGCTCGCATGGCTTAGCGAAATTTACGTGCTTTCCAAAAGTTATAAACGCATATATATCCAATGAGAAGTCTATAGGTGTAATTTATACTACTATTGGTATGTTGTACTGTACTGTTGCTGTTTTTACGTTTGGCTCATTTCCTTCTCACCACGTGTGACAAATTTGGTTCGTCTTGGCAACACAAATAGGCTTAATGCATGAAATTGTTCTTGTGGAAATACAATGTCAATGATGACCATGTATTGCAAGAGAAGATATGAGTGCAAACCACAGGCACTTAAAGTATTTCAGAATAAAATAATAATAATATTAGTACGATATAAAGTGACATTGTGTTTTTATGGACTTATTAATTCTTTGGATTCACTGCATTTGCTGGAAATGCATAAGTACTTGTAATTCTGTGTTGGGCGCTCGTCAAATCCTGAACATTTTATCTCTGCTTGTAGCATCTGTTTCTGTTTTAGTTATCCATCGACCACGGTATGCGGAAGGTTTATAATATTTTTTGTGAAAATAAAGCGTTGACCATGTATGGCTAGTGCAGAAAACAGACACTTGAAGCATTTAAGAATGAAAAAGATAGTACCATATAAAGTGACGTTATATTCTATATTACTATTCAGCACTATTGGTCACGTATAGGGCCGTGAATTTTTGGTTGTCTGGCTGGACTCGTCGGTCAGCAAACGATCACTTTCGGCCATTTGTACGCCGGCTTGGCCCCTATTTCTGTATCAGTGAAATTTGTCTAAGCCGGGAGCTGTATAAATCCAAGAAATTCTGTGGATAAGTCAATGGATAAGTCAATTAGTATTTTAATTACAGTTTGTAGCTTGCTTTCAGGTACTAACTTTGCTAATAACGAACCAGTTATAGTCATTATAAAAATGAATAAAATGAAGAGCGGAAGGGAAGAACGTGGTAGATGAGGGGTAGAGGGGGGAAGGTGGTGGATAATTGATAGGGTAGATGAGAAATTAAGCTGGCGGTGGATGAAGGAGGAGGTGGTGAGGAGGGTAGGTAGCTGGCTGTTTCACAGCAGAGCATAATAGCACTATAGAGCAATTTCGACAATATTAATTCTTTATATAAAAAAAACATTAATAGACTATAGAACCATGCAACTGTCAGAGGACGTGGCCGACGGACAACAGCCAAATCACGCGAGACCTTCACATCAGTGGCAGAGAAGTACACACACGCGTGCACACACACAACCACACGCACGCACACATTTATTTTTTATTTTTTTATTTATTTATTTATTTAGGTAAATCATCCATGATATCATCTGATGATATATAGCATACTTTTACAATATTTTTTTATTCCAAGGATAACTACCAAGGATATATACACAAAAAGTATGACTAGCACACTTATTTACATTGTGGTCCTTGGTTACCTCCGCCAAGGGGTTGGCAGGAGGTTATGTTTTCACCGGCGTGTGTTTGTTGGTTTGTCGGTTTGTGCGTTGCATGGTTTGTGTGTGTACAGCCTAACTGAAAAAGTTATGGACGGATTGTCATGAAATTTTCAGGATAGGTCAGAAATGGGCTAACTTCGAATTGATTAGATTTTGGTGGTGATCCGGATCCAATTAATTAATTAATTAATTAAATTTTCAGGATAGGTAAGAAATGGGGTAACTTAGAATTGATTACATTTTGGGGGTGATCCGGATCCAATTAATTAATTAATAAAATTTTCAGGATAGGTCAGAAATGGGGTAACTTAGCGCGTAAGTTGGGCTCTCACAGGATCACAACATTCATACTTCAGCGTCTGCCTCGAGCGAGTAGGGCTATTACGTGATATCCATGGCAATTGTGGCATGTAAATATGAACGTCGTATTGGCAGTGATAATAGTTAGGCCTGGTGAAAGTTCAGGAAGACCTGCAATGCCAGATAACACTTCTCTCTCTCCCTCTCTCTCTCTTCAGTAGCCAGCCAGTCGACCGCTCTTCCTTCTAGTGGGTCTCCCTCGATCTCTTCTTCTCTCTCACTAGACTCTCTCCCATCTTTTCTATAGTTCCTGGGTTCACATTGACAAAATTTGGTACTTCCTCTGCAACTAAAAATTATTAAGCTTTGATTATTTTTAAAATAGTAATTCATACCATATCAAACAATGTTCGAGCAAAAATGAGAAATTTTTCGAGATCAAATGTCTCCAAGCTTTCAAAATGTCAAGGAGAGATTTACACCCAGTGCTCAACTGGGCCATAACACAGCAAAGAATCTGTCGTGACTTACACCAGGAGCCTGAAACACACCATCCTCCTCTATCATCTCTCTCCTCTCCTGCTCTCTCTCTCCAGTCCTTCCTTCTTCTCCTCCATCACCTTCTTCTCTCTCGGTTAATCTCCTCTTCTGCCACCAATCCTCTCTCTCCACTCTCATCTCTGGTCCCTCTCTCTCTCCATTCATGCAATGTTCATTTCAGCTTTCTATATTTTCTTTTACATTACGCTGCATTTCTTTTTTAAAAACTAAAAGTAACTTCCTTCGTGGGCATAAAAAGAAGACTTTTCAAACAAACAAATAGGCTCCCCCCCTAACTCTCTATGGATGGGAGAACCGAAGTTATAAAAAATACACGTAGTCAGTACAATTTCTCTTTTGGGGGCCCTGGTTGCTACGGGAACTCTAACAGATATTTGATCCCAATATTCTTTCTCCAATTTTGGGCAGTGCACTTCCTTCCTCTTCATTCCCCCCGGATGATCATAAACTGTGATCCCCGCTGGTACGTGGCCTAATCTGTCCAACGCACCGCAATTGAAATTTAAGCTTCGGGTCGGTCCCCGGGTTGCATACGCGCACACGACAAGGCTTTCGTCGCTCGTTTCTTTTCGTTGCTCTCCTCTCAGGCCACCGATCCCAAAAACGTTCGTCCTCTCGCTACGTCAGTCCCATTCACAATTAGTCATAAACATATTATTACATCTCGCAAATACTTACGTAATAGTGAAAAGAAGAAATCTGTACTTTTGTTGATGATCATCAAAGATATCCTTTGGAATTATTATATAGGTATACAGGGATACCAAATAGCTACTCGAAGAAAAACAAAATGTACTCGTAATGTCGGACAACGCGGATCACTCCTTGTGCACACAGCGCCCTCTTTAATCTTGCTATCCCGTCGGTATATCTAATAAGCGAAACGTGGTTTTTAGACGCATATGAGGAGCGAGGAGCAGACCTAGGAAATGCGTCCTGCCATCCCGAGAAATATAAAGACGTCCCAATCATCAGGGGAAACGGAGCGACTAATGGTTTGGCACACCACAACTGGATTTGAAGCACTGACAAATGCGATTTAGATATTTCATTTCATTTGTGCAGGCTCTCTGTCGTTTCATTTTTCCTTCAAGGTGGCGCCACGAGTTTAAAGTCAAGCAGAAAAATATAATATAATTATAAATAAATAAATAGATATAAAGAGTAGATAATAGGAGACTATTATAGTTTTCTAAATAGAGTCTACTCTTCTAGTTCTATAATAGTTCCTATAATCTACTCTTGGATATATATTATATTATGATATATACTATAATATAGTTATATATAATATATAGTAATACTAATTATATAGTGGTTAATCAAGGACAAATACCCCCCCCCGGCAAATTAATCACCCCCGGACGAATTAGGCCTACACCCCTGAACATTTACCCCCAATGCAATTACCATACACCCCGGACATTTAGCCCCCGGACAATTACCCCCCGGATAAAGTTACCCCCCCGGACAATCACCCGCCCGCGGACATTTACCCCCCGTAACATTTACCCACCGCGGATATTTAGCCCGCCCCCCCGGACAATTACCCCCCGGACAATTACCCACGGCAGACAGTTAACCCGGCGGACCATTTACGTCGCCCCGACCATTTAGAGAGGAGTTAGAGGAGCGACTGAGAAGGTAGTGGAGGAGGAGGTAAAGGAGGTGGGCAGGGTGTGGTTGAAAAAAAAAAGGAGGGGGAAGAGGAGGAGGGGAGAATGTGATGGAAGGAGCCAGGAGGAGGTAAGTGGCCGCCTGGCGCCCTCCTCTACGCTGCCTCTACTTATCCTCATCGCTAATCTCCTATCCTCGCCTCCTCCCCACCTCCTTCTTCTTCCTTCCACCTTCCCTGCCCCTCCTATACCACGCTTCTCCCCCTCCTCTAACCACCGTTCTTCCCCCTCCTTCTCCCTCTACCCCTCCTCTGCCTCCCTCCTCCTCCGACCCTCTCTCCTGCCTCCTGCCTTCTCAACCCTTCTTCCTCCTCCACCACCTTCTCCCCTTCCTCTCCTCGCTCCACCACAGCCTTCTCCCTGCCCTCCTCACCCTCCTCCTGTATTGCATTGTCACAATGAATGAATAAACACCAAGTGAGTAATTTTCCGGAGGGGGGTAAATGTCCGGGGGGTAATTGTCCGGAGGGTAAATGTCCGGGGGGTATTATGTAACAGTAAAGAAGCTTTACATATAACTAAAGCACTCGGAGAGCGCAGACCTCCGCCAAGGCAGCTCAATTCCCGTGAAGCTGGGACGAATTTTTAATTAATAATTAATTAATTAAAATGAATTATTGGATCCGGATCACCACCAAAATTTAATGCAGTTC